AATGCTTTTGCATTTTGGATTTGTTGCTTTATTTTAATTTAACTTCAACAAAATAATTTTATACTGCAAACTAAAAGGGAAGAAATAGTGAGAATGTGTTTCTCTTCTTTATGCAGTATGCATAGCAGCTATTTCCAAGTGAAAGTACTAGCATCAGATATTGATAATACAAACAAACATTATAGAAAAACAAAATGAGCCTTGTGACACAAAACAAAATTTATAGATTTTGTCTCAGCTTTTATTGTCTATTATAATTTTAAAAAATGTTATTCGCAAAGGCTTTCACGGCCGGGATCTAATGGCTGTTGTGGGTTTTTCGGGCTTCTTGGCGGTGTTCTGAAATGTTGTAAAGAGAAATTCCATGCTGCCCTCTACTGGTGGTTCACTGGCATTTTTATTTCATGGTGGAACTTTATAGTGAGATTTCCAAACTTTTTAGCATTGTGCTTCCTCTTTGATTTTTGAGAAAGCATCCCATCTCCACACTTTTGATTTAGTATCAATCAACCCCCTTCACCCAAAATTTCAATTTGGAATTTAAAATTTAAAAAACCCTAACAAAAATAATTTAAAATAGCCATGAATTGTTTTTCTTAATGAAAACTTAAATTATGAAAAATCTCACAACCTTGCATCCTCCTTGGAATTTCTTCATACCTCCTCAGTTTGCAAACCAATGTTTTATAGGCATACTATGCTTTTCCTTAGAGAATAAGAAAACTTTCAAACTGGTTCAAGTTAAATTTAGCAATACAAACTTTCTCAAATTTCTTCAATCTAAGGTGAAGGATGAACTATATTTCCCCAAATATCCTATGATATTTGCTCCGATTTTCTGCATTTCTCCTGTACTTCCTGCACACCTTCATTCCTTGATCAATTTTGCTCATCTCTGTTTCCAGCTCTACAACATTGTACTGAAAAGCACTGACCAGAAAAGATTCGAAACATGGTCACACCATGGATCAGTATTATAGCACAAGCAACCTCAGTTTTTATTATTGTGCCAAGAATTCCAGCAGAGAACTTTTGGAAACTTTGGAGTTCTGGGTGTCTGCTGATGCCTTCTTTATGTGTGGGTGATACTGTTTTTTCATCCTAAGCAATGAGACTCACCCCCCCCAATGGAGGGAAGATATGGAATTATTTCTTATATGACATAAACCAACTACGTACATGTGTATTAGTGGCCGACCAGCTTCAGGCTCTCTTGGATGAAACAGATGCCCTGGATCCATTCCAATCGGGCTTCAGGCCGTGCTACGGTACAGAGACGGCATTGGTCGCACTGTATGATGACTTGTTGAGGGAGACCGACATGGGTAAACATCCCTGCTGGTCCTCCTTGACATCTTGGCGGCCTTTGATACCGTCGACCACGGTATCCTCCTGGGGAAGCTCTCTGAGCTGGGAATTGGTGGCCTGGCACTTGCCTGGCTCTGTTCCTTCTTGGAGGACCGACCCCAGAGAGTACAGCTTGGGGAGAATGTCTCGGCCCCATGGAGTCTCAACTGTGGGGTTCCACAGGGGTCAATTATTTTCCCAATGCTGTTTAATATCTATATGAGGCCGCTGGGCAAGATCATCAGGAGGTGTGGGGCATCGTGTCATCAGTACACTGATGACACCCAGCTCTACATCTCCTTTTTTCCAACTGCAGGTGAAGCGGTCCTGTCCCTTCAGCGCTGCCTGGGGGCTGTATTGCAATGGATGAGGAAAATGGGCTGAGGCTGAATCCGGACAAGACGGAGGTTCTGAGGGTAGGTGCCCTCACTGTTGGTGGGTTGGGCGACTCCCTCTCGTTTGGGGGGGTAGCCCTTGCCGCAAAGAGTGGAGTCCACAGCCTGGGGATCCATCTGGACCCGGCGCTCACCATGGAGACTCAGGTGGCGTCGGTGGTCCACACAGCCTTTTTCCACCTTTGGCGGATAGCCCAGCTGCGACTCTATCTTGATGTGGGGGCGCGCACTACCTTGGGTCATGCGCTCGTAATCTCGAGATTAGACCACTGTAATGCGCTCTACGTGGGGCTACCTTTGAGGCTGACGCGGAAACTCCAGGTGGTGCAGAATGCGGCAGCCAGACTCCTTAGTGGAGCGAGAAAACACCATCACATATCTCCTATTCTGGCCACATTGCATTGGCTGCCCATTTGGTGCTGCGTCGACTTCAAAGTTCTGATGCTTACGTTTAAAGCCCTAAACAGTTTAGGGCCTCGATACCTGGCAGAACGCTTACTCCCACCCAGTTCTACCAGTGTCACTTGAGCGAGTCAGGAGGTGAGGCTGAGGAGCCTGACGCTGAGGGAGGCCCGGAAGGAAAAAACAAGAAACCGGGCCTTCTTGGCGGTGGCTCCTCGCCTCTGGAACAACTTACCTCCGGAGATTTGCACAGCCCCCTCGCTGGGCATTTTTAAAAAACAACTGAAAACATGGATGTTTAGGCAGGCCTTCCCTTCTCCAGTTAATTCCTAATTCCTTCCTCTCCTTTTTTAAAATGATTTTTTTTCCTTTTGCCATCTTGTAGAAATCCTCTTAATTATGTAAATTTTTTTCTCTCTCTATTATATATACATTTGTTTTATATGTGTGTTGTAACCTGCTTAGAGTGGTCGTAACGACCAGATAGGTGGGGTATAAATGAAATAAATAAATAAAAAATATTTTTTTCACAGAGGTAGCTATATTACCCTGTTTTAGCATTTATAGAAAACAAAATGAAAACAAAAGTATTGTCACACTGTTATGACTAACACGTTAATTTCTATGTTAGTTTTTGTGGATTTTCATTCACTTCCTTTGTAATTCATGAAAACTTGCTCTGAAATAAATCTGCTAGTTTTAAAAGTACAATAATACTTTTTTTATTTGTTTCATACCTACATTGTTATCCAAATACTGATGCTTAGTCTGTACCACTTCAGCACATAAGCTTCAGAAACTATTTTCTATGAGAGCCTGACTACATCAGTTTAAATTACTTCTCTTATGTGACACCATGGAAAAGCAAAAGTAAAGAATGAGAATAAAAATCAAACAGAATGGAAAAATACATTGCAAGAAAAAGAAAAGTCAGAACCTCTGAAAGACATTGACTTTAGGGATCTTTTGCTTATTATGAACACAAATTATTTCCTCAGCACAGAGGCACTGATCTCTTACAGAAAAAGAGATGATCTACCATTTTTATTATTAGCTTCTACCTCCACCTTATTTTTTATATCAAAGACCCTTAAATATACATTGTGGCAAGAACAATGAACAAGACAATTACCTGCTCTTCCTCTGTGCAGCTGAAGGTGGATCCCACTGGCAATAAGAACCGCAGTTAAATTGATTTAAATGTTATTAAAATCTATTTATAAATTCCCGGGCACATGACGCATGGGTGAAATCAATTTATTTCAGCTGCAAAGTGAGTTGGTTTTTTTTTCTAACTGTCTAGCAGGGGATTTTTAAAATACGTTGCTTCTAAATTGATTCAATTCAATGTGGTTTTGTAGATGTGCTCACTGCTGTCATTTTAATGTGTGCCTATGTGGATTTTCGGTGGCAGGGGCACCACCATTTTTCCTTTTTGTTTGTTTGTTCTTAAAATGTTTAGCACGGCATCACTTCATTTTAATTTGTGCCTATGTGGATTTTCGGCGGCAGGGGCACCACCATTTTTCCTTTTTTGTTTGTTCTTAAAATGTTTAGCAGTGCATCACTTTATCAATACATTTGGCATTAGAATCACCTACCCTATTCTCACGATTCGGCCAACAAAGGAGCCAGCAAGGCAGTAGAAAGCCAGAGGGCCCAGAGTGAACGCAGAGCATGCATGCCAGGGCACAGACAACAGTCAGGTGCAAGGTCTGAGGCTCTAGCATTGGAAGTCTCTTCCCCCCCCCCAATTCCCATTTTTCCAGTCATCTGGAGCCACCACTCTGGTGTTTTCCCCACGGTTTCTAGCTATTATTATGATATCAGATAGCGCCTCATAGACACTCTATTTAATCATGTATCACTTATTTTAAAAAATACTTTAACCAAAAATGTAAAAGCAAAAAGCAAAGTGTGCTGCTTATATACCACCCCATAGTGCTTAAAGCACTTTCTGGGTGGTTTACAATTTAATTATGCAGGCTACACATTGCACACACTCCCCCAAGCAAGCTGCGTACTCAGTTTACGACCTCAGATGGATGGAAGGCTGAGTCAATCTTGAGCCGGCTACCTGGGTTTGAACCCCGGGTTATGAGCACAGTTAGGGCTGCAGTACAGCAGTTTAGCCACTATGCCACGAGGCTCCTTAAACAGAAAATTGAATCAATTCCAGTGTAAATTGCCAAACTGATTTTAACTACCATCAAAATAATTTAAGTGAAAGTGAATACACCTACCAAATTATATACCATGTGATTTTACAGAGGTTTTTTTTTTAAGTCAGGAATGAAATCAATGTAAATCAGCAGTGTGACCGAGACTTGACTTAGGAGAATGAAAGTGAAGAATATGGAGAAAGTCTCAGAAACTGTCATCTGCTTTCCTTGCACAGCTTTTTGAACAAACTGTCAAGAAGATTAGATGCAGCAGTACCAGTTTCGCATATTTATTTTACTTGTACAGAAATTGTAATTCTACACTCATAACACCTATGTTCTGCACAGAATGGATAGCCTACAACAATATAAAATTATAATCTCATAAAATATAATAATAACACATTTAACACAATACAAATATTAAAATAACATTAAAATAAAGAAACACTTATTGGCAACTTACTGGTTGAATAGATTGGACTTTGAGCGAGATGTATAAGCTTTTACAATCACCTTGAAGATTCCAGCAACTTTAGTACATGTTTTCACAATATTATTATTTAATTCCATTTACCAAATAATATATTTATACCAGCTTCAACCAATTTTGATTTCAGGGAGTGAACACATAAATTAACATTGAAATATATAATAGGATTACATGTGAAGATTCCTATTCTGTTGATGAAAGTAAGATAAATACAGAAAATTGTGTAAAATGTAAACATTACAACAACATATTTAAGGCATTAGTGCAAATTTAATACAGCAGATAGCAACAAATGATGTACATTATAAACCATAATAATGGAAGCCATTGTGTTTCTATATATATTTTCAACCAGTGCTGATAAGCTCTTGGATACTGACAGCTTTCTTGTAATCAGCAATAGCTTCTCTAATGAAACCCATTTTGCCACGAATATCAGCTCTAAGCTTGTACATCAGGGAATCGTAAGGCTGAATTGATAGTGCTGGAAAAAAAAGGTATCTTCTTAAGGTAAATAATAACTGTATGTGCCATCAGCACTCTGTCATCTTTTCCCAGGTAGACTACAAATCCCATAATCAAAAAGTCACCTAGGGATGGTGGTTCCAATATAAGTGGAAACTTTTAAACTTAAGAATTACATGGGTCCTAACACTGGATCTCAGTTTCTTACCCATTGGAAAAGAAAGACAAATGCACATGCAACAAGACTAAATCTACACAGCAGTTAACAATTCCTTGAACCACTTTCAAATGTACTTCTTCCAGAGCAGAAACGCTACCCATAATTAACAAAAGGCTGAGTGGTGCTCCTCTTAAAGTCTTTTATAGACACTAAAGTAGCTGCATTAGGGAAATGGGCTGGTGGGGAAACAGTAGCCTCAGAAGGACCATTGGAAGAGGAGCATCCCTAAGACCTACTCCTGTGGCCACAGCTCCCTCCTCAATCTTTTTTCCTCCTAATTCACGAGCATGGCACACACCAATCACCCAGGCAACAACAGAAACCACAAATTAGATTTCAGAAATGGTGGAACCATACCTTCTCTACCTACACTTGGCCTCCCCACTCCCACCCTGTAAGATGTAAAAACAAATACATTGTCATATTTAAACAAGCACTGAATTCAAACAATTCTGAAGAACATTCTAAAGAATTCTAAAAAAAAACTTCCAAGAAAAGGAATTACGTCTCAAATATATGTGCATGTGTGTGTTTACTCTCAAGTAATTGGGTACAGAATTGCAGCCTGACAAATTTTACTATTATCTAATAAACTAGAGGCCAATTCATAACATCAAGATAAACTGCTGACACACAGGCAGTAAGTAGCAACTTCAGTGCATAGAAAATATTTTGTAATTTATAATGTATAAATTGGTGATTTTTCTAATGTTTGATGGACAAACAAATAAATGTAATATTAACATGCCCATTTTAATTCATTATTTCTAACCACTGGTCCTTTAGGTTCTAATTTTCTGGCATTCTGCAATATGACACTGAAATAAATTATGAGGAAAATATCTTCTTGAACATCCCAGAGCTCTCCCTCTGTTGGATGACAGAGCAGTGTGTGTGAACTCTCTCTGTTCAAACCTAGTGTATTGTTCTTAGATGTGGTGAACTCTCTCTTTGTAGAGTAAAATTTTAAAAAAATCTAATGCCAGTCTAATTTGCTTCTAGATTGTGAGAGGAAATGGAGATGCAGGTGTCATCTTCTCTTTTGTCTCAGGCAACAAGACATGAAGAGGTTACCTACCTGTAACCATAGTTCTTCTAGTGGTCCTCTGTGAATCCACACAATTGAGTTGTTCTGCGCCTGCGTTGAATGTCTCGGAAGATTCTAGAGCTTATAGACACATAATTAGTGGGGCGTTCCCCTGTGGAGTGCATGCTCCGCCCATCCTGATTCCCCTCAGTTTGTGATAATTGTCCACCAAGTAAAGGAGTTATTTCAGACAAAGTGTGACAGACAGAGGGGAGGATGGGTGGGATGTGTGGATTCACAGAGGACCATTAGAAGACCTATAGTTACAGGTAGGTAACCTCTTTTTCTTCTTCGTGGCCTCTGTGAATGCACACAGTTGGGTGACTAGCAAGCTCACTTACCAGATGGTGGGACATCACAGTAGGAAAGATGCCAGGACAGCTCTGCCAAAGCTAGCATCACCCCATGCTCTAACATCTAGATGGTAATGTCTGATAAAGGTTGACGGGTTAGACCATGTAGCCACACGGCACATGTGAAGTAATTCAATTCCACACTGGAAGGCACTAGATGTTGACAGCGCTCTGGTGGAATGTGTCGTTGAATGACCAGGAGGCGATTTGCCTGATAGTTCATAAGCCAATGAGATGGTTTGGATGATTCATCGAGATATAGACTGCAGAGAGGCTGGTGCTCCTTTGTGAGGACCATGGAAGCATAGAAAAAGTCTACTTGATTTCTAAATGGCTTGGTCCTGTCAATATAGAATGCTAGAGAGCGTCTTACGTCTAGTGAATGGAGCATGCACTCGAGAGGTGTAGATGGTGATGGAAAAAGGGTTGGTAGAATGATTGGTTGATTGATGTGGAAATCAAATACAATATTGGGCAAGAAGGAAACATCAAAATACAGTGTGACTTTATCCAGATGGAACTGTAGAAAAAGTGGGTCTGAACGAAGGGCAGTGAGTTCACTGGCTCTTTTAGCAGATGTTATTGCTACCAAGAAGGAGGTTTTTAATGATAATAACTTAAGATTGCAGGTAGCCATAGGTTCAAAGGGTGGATGCATAAGTACATTGAGGACAAGTTGTAGGGACTATTGAGGGACAATACATTGGCATGGAGGACGAATATCATTGAGTCCCTTGAGAAATCTTTTTAAAGTTGGGTGAGAGAAATGTTTAGCTGATTTAGAGTTGTTAGGTTGATGAGCAATGATAGCTGAAATATATACTTTCAATGTAGAGTAAGACCGTCCAAAGTTGAACAGATGAAGAAGGAAGGTGAGTAGAGTTTTCAAAGAAACTGGGATCTCATGCAGGGTCAGAAGACCAAGCAGTCGTAAGATCGAATCCACACAATGGAGTGAGAGCCCGTTGCTTGTCCCAGCTCCCGCCAACCTAGCGGTTCGAAAGCATGCAAATGCGAGTAGAAAAATAGGGGCCACCTTGGTGGGAAGGTAAACGCGTTCTGTGTCTAAGTCGCACTGGCCATGTGACCACGGGAGATTGTCTTCGGACAAACGCTGGCTCTATGGCTTGGATACGGGGATGAGCACCGCCCCCTAGAGGCGAACACGACTGGACAAAAAATGTCAAGGGGAACCTTTAAAAAAAAAGAGACCACTTTCCATTTGTTTTTATATTGGAGCTGTGTCGAGGGTTTTCGGGACCGATCAAGCATGTCCTTTATGGTGGGAGTATCCCCCAAACTGTCAGATTAAGAGACGGGATGTCCGGGTGGTAGATCATCCGTCGTCCTGTGTCAGAAGGTTGGGGAGCAGAGGGAGCTGGACCAAGTCTGTTGACATCGACCTGAGGTGGGTGAACCATCGTTCACCATGGCCACCATGGAGCAATGAGAATTGCATTGGAATCGAATTGACGGATTTGAATGATAGACCTTTGTATGAGTGGTATAGGAGGAAATAGATAAAGTAGGTCCTTGTTCCAATCCATCATGAATGCATCCCTGATCAAATTTCTGTCAACACCTGCTTAGGAGCAGTAGCGTTGGCATTTGGTGTTCATTTGAGAGGCAAAGATATTGATAGTAGGATCACCCCAAAGTTTGCAAAGGATGTCAAATATGGTGTCATTTAGAGACCATGCATCCTCGATGTCAGTCAGCTGAGATGATCTGCCAGGAAGTTGTCTTCTTTAGCTATGTGAACTGCTATTGAGAATATGTGGTGTAGGCAACACTATTCCCATAATTTGAGGGTGAGGTAAAGGAGAGACAAAGAATGTGTGCCTCCTTGCTTGTTCACATAGTACAGAGCAGTGATACTGTCTGTAACAAGCTGGACTGCACACCCCACAATCAGTGGTAAGAAGGCATGAAAGGCTCTGATGATTGCTAAAAGTTCCAAGTGATTTATGTGTAGTAATCTTTCTCGATTTGTTCACAGACCATGAATTTTGTGATGTCGACAGTGTGCTCTCCATCCCGACGGGCTTGCGTCAGTATTAACCTATATCGTCAGTTGTAAAGGCAGGAATGATCATCCAACGGTTAGATTCAGAAGAAACATCCACCAGATGAATTGATGGGCTAACTCAGGTGTCACCGTTAGACGCATGGATGGATGGTCTGTCATAGGATTGAAAAAAGACAGGTACCATGACTGAAGGGACCTCATTTTGAGCAGAGCATGTTGTATCACTGAAGTTGTTGATGTCAAGAGTCTGAGAATATGTTGCACATGATGATCCAATATGGAAGCTAGAGGTCGAAAGGGTTGAATGGCATTTTTCAATTTGAGGATTCTGTCTTGTGGAAGAAAGGCTCTGGCTTGGAGAGAATTGAAAAGAGCTCTGATATAGATGGCAGTTTGAGAGGGTTCTAGATGTTATTTTTTTAGATTCACCTTGAGACCGAGGTCTCGGAGTGTATCGAGGGTAAGATGAGTGGCCCTGATGGCATTGTGATGAGATGTGGCAACCATCAGCCAGTCGTCTATATACAGGAAGATGTTGATACCGTGAAGTCGAAGGTACACAGCAACTGGTACCTTGCATTTTGTGAAGGTTCTCGGTGCTGTGGAGAGCCCAAAGGGGAGTGTGCAGAACTGGTAGGTGATGTTGTTGAACCGGAACCGAAGAAATTTGTGGTGGTACAGATGAATGGAAATATGGAAGTATGCATCTTGGAGATTGATCACAACAAACCAATCCCTCTGTGAAAGTAGAGGAATGATAATGTCTAGTATCAGCATCCAAAAATGTCAGGGTCAAATAAATTTATTGAGAATCCTGAGATCGAGTATGGGTCGAAGTACTCCATCCTTTTTGGGTACAGTAAAGTATCTGGAGTAAAAGCCATCCCTGAAATTATGTGGAGGGACTGTGATAATGGCTTGTTTTTGTAGGAGAAGGGAAACTACTTATTGGAAAATTGTTGAATATGGGGTATTTTTTATTTTTCCAGTTGGCCGAGATGATTTAAATTCAATAAAGTAACCATGTTTGATAAAAGAGAGGACCCATTTATCATTAGTTATAGACTGCCATGAATGAATAAATGGACTTAGTCTCATTTGAAAGTGATTCTGAAACCAAGGAAATTGCAATATAAGATTACGGTATTGCTCACCCTTTTCTGAGGTCAACGAAAGGGCTGATGACACTGTTGGTGTCGATTTCAAAAGGGTAATGGTGCTGGTGTTGATTGTCCCTGAAATGGCTTATCAGGTGCTTGTGGTGTATACTGTCAATACTGTTGAAATTGTTTGTTTGTTTGTTTGTTTGTTTGTTTGTTTGTTTGTTTGATTTATATCCCGCCCATCTGGTCTGGTCGACCACTCTGGACGGCTTCCAATAAGGTGTATATGATAAAACATAAGGATTTTACAAACAGTCCATAACACATACAATAATAAAATGAATAATAAATGAAAGAAAAAATAAAGAATTAAATATTGACAGGAGGGAAGGCCTGAACATACAGCCATGTTGTTGATATGGTTGTTGATAGAAAGGCTGTTGATGATATTGTGGATGCTGTTGGAATCTGTAGGGTTGTTGTGCCGAATAGGACTGGGCGGTTTTATGTATTTTATGCAAATTTTCCATAACTGTCAGTTTTTTTATTAAATAGTCTGGAGCCGTCAAATGATTAAATCTTCAATGTTTAGTCTTTTTCGATAATGATTTGTCCTTTTTAGAAGATTCTAGGTGTCAGGTTGTGGATTTCGGTGTTGATCCCGACTTCGACTTCGATACTGACTTCGACTTCTCCTTGGTGTGTGGAGGAGTTGTTGTTGGAGTAGGAGCAGGCAAAGGTGGAACTTGCTGCTCAACTTGAGGGTCCGGTGAGTGTGTAATCTCCATGGGAGCCGGATGGAGTGACTTCTCCCAAAGGGACGATCTAAACCTTTGGAGCTGAAGCTTTAAGGCTGGTTTTGTCACCTTCGTACATGCAGCACAGGAATGAGTTGTGTGTTGCTCCCCAAGACAAAAAAGGCACAAATCATGCCCGTCGGTTAGTGAAATTTTATTTGAGTAAACCACACACCATTTGAACGGCCCTGAGATGGCCATAAAGACTGGGCAGAATAGGATGGGAAACTGGTTGAGAAGGGGGGGGGAGACAA